TGCTATAAATTTGAATATTTTTCTAATGTTATTATCATATTTTATTGTCGTGGATTTTGTTATCTTGTTCTTATAGGATAAAAGTGAGGAAAAGACAAAGCTCCTTACGCTCTCCTCTCGTATAGCGTTTATGCGAATATTTCTTGTTACTCTTACTTTTTTGGTGCCTCCACGAAAAACGGAAGAGTGGCGTTCCACGAAAACGGAAGAGTGGCGTTTGGACTCTTCGCAGATGCCTCCTTTAGATGCACTAGGCTTTACGTAAGTTGTCAAGGTTATTGTTCAGAAAGCTTGTTCAGTATTTTGGAAGTACTCACATTCAGACCTGATTTGGATGCAGCCACGAGCGCAGCATCAAAACTCATACTTTTATCGTCCAAGTTTTTGGACACTTCTATGCATGAAGCCACACAGCGACCGAACGGCGTCGAGCGTGACGGTAATCCACTATTTTTAAAAAATTTTTCTTCTTTAATGGTTTTCTATTTCTCACATGTTCCACCAATTATATTATTTTTTTTTCAAAAGATCCATCAGTTCACCTATCTTCGCACTTTTTTAATACTCAATAGATTCAAATGGTAATTTGTAAAGGTTCGCGGTGCGTCTGTCCCGTTTTGGGTCTCCGTCTTGGATCCCCTTTTTAGATGTCTAGGGACAAGGTCCCTTCCTTTTAGCTCGGTAGAGAATAGTGACTTACACTTTATTCTTCGGTAAGTAGCAGTACAGAATAAGGCGATCGATTAGCAGAATCCTCTGACGAAATACGACAGATCCAAAAGCCATTCTAAGAGATCTGACCGGTATTTATATCTGTGGCCCTGGGAAAGTGGAGCTTACAGACACAGAATACAAGAGATTACGAAATCCACATAGACACAGATCAAGAGAGGGCTTTAGCCGGTAGCTTCGCGCGCGGGAAATCTGTTTTGGTAGTTGCGAAAATTTGAATTGTGGGAAACAGAGGTAATGGGCAGATATGCATCAGATAGTACAAAGAAAGCGAGTAATGCTACATAACAATAGAGGTATGTTTACAACTTTACATTATGGTTACATATTTACAGATTCCAGAAGGAAAGAATCTCATAATTTGGGAAAAAATACTTAATAGATTGTTTGGTCAGATTGTTCTCTGGAACTACTACCATAATACGTTGTAGATAAGAGCGATTACGCTACTGCTTACTCTGCGTTAAATTTAGAATACCACATGCGGCCCTTCTCCCTCTCTGTTTCTGTCTACTTATTTTTTGACTCATCTCTCCCTTTTGTTTCTCAGGTTTCTTTCCACATTTTTGTGTTCCGTTAGTTCTATTACCTATGTTTCCCACTTGATCGAGCTTTTCACTTTGTAGTCGTTTCTCTCTCATTGCTCTCTTGGCTTTTCTTCGACATCTGAGCTTACTTTCATATTGTGCACCGATGTTAATGTGCAGATAGGACGGATGGCGAGTAAATGCCGAGAGCGTCAGTATAGAATGGTGGCATTAGGCTAGCGCTTGATTAAGGAAGCAGCCCTGACTGAACAGCTAACATTAGCACATTATACTGAGGCGTTTCGCGCTCCCGCACTGTCCGAACTTTTCACATCTGCGCAGGGCATGAAAGCATGGGAAAGGATGGACATCTTCAGTTTGTAGTATGCATACTTCGCAGAAAGTGGAATATAAATTTTTCTTTTGCATTGGATTTTACTCTCATTGTTATTAGATAATTTATGGTACGGGTGACTCATTCCAGGTGACTTTTCGTGGTTGGTGGCATTTGAGCCGGAATTGAACAGGCAGTATTTACCGTCCACATTCCCTCGAAAAATTGAGATACTCCCGAGAGAAAAGGCTTTACCACATCTTCACCGTATCTCTTGCAAGTAGGTTTGATTAGTTGACACTTATGCACAAAGCAGCGCATGCCCATTCGTTTTTTTCTTGTGGAATTCGCCACCATGTCACCACTTACGTTTTTAGCCTACCATTTCAGCAAGTATTTCAGTATTTTCTTTTTTTTAGGATACATTTTATGGCTTCGCAGGTAAGAAACAATCTGGCGGATTCAACAAGTCTTATTGAATTCATGAAGTGGTTCAGTTACGACGATAGCTGTGTTCTAACACGATCAATATTACAGGTCTTTCTTTCACTTTCATTTCAATTTTGAAGTTTTTTATGGGGTGAACGAGACATTTTTGCTTAAGATGGTCATCTACCCACTCGACGATAATGTTTTGGGGACTCAGCCTACTGCGATTTTTGTGGAAAGGTCTTTGAAGAACTCAGTGCTTCCACTCGCATTACTTCCACAGTGTGTTTTATCTTTTTTTTTTTAAAGTTTCACGAGTTTCCTTTGATCTCTATTCTTGAGGTATTACTTTCAGCACTCCTTTGTATGATAACGATGATTGTCGTAAAGCAGTTGAAGATTTTACAATGAACACCACGAGAGTAATGCTCAGTCTGTACCAAAACTTTGGTGAGCATTTTGACGAAAAATGGTCCAAGACCTTTAGTAGCTCTATGTTCTTTCATTATTTTATTTGCTCCTTTATTCGTTGTCCTCTTCATCTATCGTGCAGTCATTCCAAATCCAAAAGAATACGTTCGAATTGTAGTAGCATTATAAATCCGAAGAAATGGATGCGGAAGCTAAGATAGAAGCGTTGCATGCCAATTAACTGCGACGGGTAAATGATATTTCGTTATATGTATTAACCCAGTCTCAGAATGACTGCGATCGACGCTGCATTTCTCCAGATATGCTGAAACTGCTTCAAACTTTTGAGCATGCATTTGGCATGCGTATGTGTATAAGGTGGAGCTCGAAGAGTGAGAATATTACTTAGGGAAATTCAGACGCATTACCAAGGCTGTGAACAGCAGCTTTCGCTGCTAGGGAAATGATCCCTTCAACCTAGCATGGCCGTCTCCGCGAACCCTCACCAACTGGCTAACCACTTACCGTAGATCTCTAGCTGTTTGGTAGAAAAAGCGTTACCATTGAAGAGGGTAGCACCGATGAAAGTCAACGGATAAGGAAGGGGTCCCATTTTTTAAAGATTGTGGGCCGTTTCTCATGTTTCTTTCTTCATCCCGGCACCTCTGAGCACCTCTACCTCAATTCCAATGGCTGTCTTCTAATCGTGAACTCCCCATTTAAATATATGTTTTTATCATTTTCACTGAGGAACGCAAGAGTTGTGGGGGGTCAGGTGTAATGCATAACTTCAGACCCACGCAATTTTGTTTATTGCTCAAGAATGAGCATTAGTTATGGATTTCTTTATTTGAAGGTTTCAACCTCGCCCGTCAACGAGACAAGCTAGTCATCATATTGGAAGAATTGAACGATTTGCATGAAGATGCTTGTCGAGCGGATGCTGTCTCCAGGGAACTTTTGCCTGTTCACAACAAATGTAAGTGATACTGAGCTGATGCTCCTTGAAGTACTGATAGAACCTCACTTTTTTTTACTATTCAGACAATCCTTTCGTCACTTTTGTCTTTACGCAAACTCTATCACTAGTGGTTTATCACATAGAATTGAGTTTTCGACTTGATTTGTTTGCGCCGTTTGAATTCACCTACATCTATTGGTCAGTTATTGTTATTATACCCTTCATCGTTGCTTTCTTTCATGAATTTGTCTGACTTTTTTCGTATCCTTTTTAGGTTCTATGGAGAAGTGGTTGGAAGATGGTACATGACGTCTATAGAAAAAACTCGTGAGTTGATGAGAGATAGTTTGAAAAAAGGTGAGGTCCTCTTTTTCTAATTAGTCCTTTCCCCTAGTAGTGGCTATGAGTAGCTCGTTACAGAAAGCGAACTAAACGATCAGGGAAAGAAAAACAAGAAGAAAGTCAGGCCACGCCTACATTATGAAGAACATTTTCGCATAAGGTAGCGCATGAACGCCCATGCCCTTCTGTCTTTTGTGCCATGATCAGGAACATGATAGGGATTCTGCTGTCATGACGAATATTTTCACTTGACGTTGTTCCATTTTATATCTAGTTCACTTATCAAAAGGGATTTGATCTAAAAGTGTAATGTTTAGGTCTGCTATTTGGCAAGACCAACTCATCTTGAGATACGGTCACTCGGCGATGGCGGACGCCACATTTCATATAGCAGTCGCATTGATTCAAATGGGTCAAATTCGGGTTCGTGTTTTCTGTTGTCATCATTTCAAAGAAGTCGTTCTGCCTCTGTTTCGGCTCGAGATTGGGACGCTTTCTAGGTCCCCGTGTGGAACGCGGAGTCAGAGCGGCTCCGTTTTGAGCATCGCATGGCGTTTTTATTAAGCGTTGGTGACCCTCTGCATGTTACTTATGAGGAGTTCCTTACACGTAGCAGGTAATTACTTCTCGATTTCTCATGTGAGACTCCAAGTACAGTAGTTTTTGAAGGGTTCGAGAACTTCTCGATGGCGATGTTAATATTCCACTTCAACGCGCTATTGATACTTTCGAATTAGCTCGAAATCAGTTCGAAAAATTGGTTGAAAGGCCAGAGTTCACGATACATGTCAAGTATGTTTAAACTTTTTCCTCTTTTTATTATTCTTTTGTTAAATGTAGTTTTATATGGTTGAAGTGTTTTTTTTACTCAATTCCATTCAGAAAACCAGTTCCTGTTACTTTTCCAGTACGCTCTCTTTTTCATGTTTAGAAATTTTTGTCCGAGTCTTTTCAAAACCTTGTGTTAGTAGTGAATTTACAAGCCGTGGGAAATGTTGTTTCCATATGACGTATCATGATACTAGCGATCTACTCTCTGGCACTACCAACAGTACATTTAGGCCATTGATTTTGGTGTGCCGAACGAACGTCGTGGTCGCGCGTCTGCTGTTAGCCGGTAATGTAAGAGATCGTCGTGTAACTTTTCAATTTATGCCCGATTCACCAATATTTCCTATACTGAAACTAGTTGTTGAAAAGTAAGTAGTTTATTAGCTCATTCTCGGGTAATGACACAGCTTCTATCCGAATTAGTGGTAATATATAGAAGAGGTGGAAAAGATTGGTTGAAAATTTCACAAGGAAGTTCAGAGGCTTACTAGCCCATCATAGCCCTCAAGAAGTCTCAAATCTACCTTTCAACTCTGATGAACCATTCTCTGAACATAGTTGTGAAACAATAGAGCACGGCAGAAGTGGTGAGGGCTCATAGGCAATGCGCCGTCAGATCGAGATCTTATCGCATTTTCTCTCTTGCTTTCTTTATGAATATTGCTGGAAAGACTTTCAACAACAGCGTTCCATTCTAATTGCCTGTATAAACACTCTGCGAACAACTGCACAATTAGCCATTTATTCCGCATGACTTTTCGCTAGGCTCCTGTAGCTTGCGTGTTAGACGTTTGCTCGCAAAACTGGTATAATATTCGTGATTAGACTGTGAGATCCCCAGTCAGCAGATTTCTAGCAGTGTTTACAATTGTGACCTACCATCTGAAAATTGTTCACTTATCTTTTCTCTTAAAGGAGTTCTAACTTTGGAAGTGACCATTCACGGCGCACGCTGCCAAATCCAAACGAAAACAATCGTAATATGAGACAACTCTCCTAGCACTTTATTTTGCATGTGAAGCACATGTGAAGCGCCGCTGTGCATTTGTCTCCTGCCGCAAACCTAGTCTTCACCTTCATCTCGTCAGTTCCGATCGTTTGACGTTCGAGCTCTGTCACTGTTAGTTTCTTGATGACTACATGCGAATTTCATCCCCATTCGGTATGAAGATGCCTGTCGCATTCGTTGTGGGCGCCGTTAGCGCCATAGACAAGTGGTGCCTAAACGTAGGAGTCGTTTCCATAGTCCTCATTAGACGAATATAAGTAACCATTGTGACGGGAAGAGGTCAAATTTTCAACCATCTCAGTGAAAAAGGCAAAACAGCAAGCTGTCGAGGGATCGATCCCAGATCTCCATGCCTATGAACCCAAACAGTCATCAACTGCACTAATGGTGCACGACTCGCTGACACCTCGATGACCTTGTATGTGCAATAACGCGAGTAATAATACTTCTTAGCTTGTTATGGGAATCATTTAGCAGATTTGAAAGGTAGATTTGAGATTAGCGCTTTGAGGTAAATGGGGACCTATACACTTCATCGTCATCTCATGTCCACGGCGACCTAGTATCCTTTTCTTTTTGGAACATCCGCTTGAGACTGTGTCACGAAATATTCATAAATGTCTATCTCGAAATAAGGAAGGAAAAGGTACGAATAGTTTCTGAGTAACTCAACTGCAGGTCTTAGGTTTCTACTGAATTTTTGATGGAAACTGTTCTATTGTACTTGTTTGTTTTCTTATATGGAAATTTCTAAGAGTCACTCCATTCTAATTAAGCCATCAAGATTTAAGGAAAGGTCCCTTTTTGTGCAGGGTTAGCCTAAATTTTCTGTTTCTTTTCAACTTTGACTACGCTCTCTGGAGATAGAAGCTTCAAGTAGTAGTGAATATCCGTCACAATATTTCTCCCCGTTGTTTCCGAGCGAATTTGCAATTCTGTAGTCGCTCACTCTTTTTTCGATGTTGCTGCTTTTCTGAGAAAAGCTTGTTGCAAAATTGATCTACATGTTCATTGCAGTCACCGAAAGTTGTCTGATAAATTAAATGTCACATCCGGCCTAGTTTCATAGCCAACGCAGAATTTTGCATTCAACAGAACCTGCAGTTAGGTTATTTGAAAGATGATTTTGTTGCCGTTTTGAAACATCGCTAGGCTTCGACCCATGAATCTGCGCAGTGATTTTAGCGAAATTAGCAGTTGAGCTCCATCGGCCCCACCTGTACTTAATAATTCTAGTTGTTTTCTTTTAAACAGGCTTTTATCGCAATCTTGTGTGCTAAGATTTTAATTGACTTTTTGTGTTACTTTTATTTGTGTCCTCATCATGTTCGGGTAATATTTCTGTTTAAGTGTTTATTTGCATAGATTTCTACCACTTTTATCTACTTTGCCCAGTACGAAGTACTATTGGGTGAATTTTTCCATAGTGTTTTTATTCTTTTGATAATACTTGGCAGTTTCTGTTTCGTTCACGAAATGAAGCTTCTCGGGACTAGTAAATCCTGATGATGTAGGCTTCCGTTTGCCAAGAACAGTGCGCTCAATTTCAATGTGTTGAGTGGGTTAGAGAGATGAGAGTGCTCTATGTTCAAGATTTTGTTTGCTTTTTGCCGGTTTCTAGCCACCTTTCTTTGTAGCACTTACACAAGTGTTAGAATTACAACGTTCGATGTATTATGTTGTTTTTTGTTGAGATTGCATAAATGTTCTATGAAAGTTTTCTCAATCGGTGATCAAAACGTCTCTTCGATTACTGGCAGCTTACTGTTGATACCTATTCTAGCGTCGTATTCTTTTTTTTGTATTATTTTGTAGATGAGACCCTTTCTATCATTACTAAGGACGTCGCACCAAATTGTGCCATGTTGTACATCAATGCGAGCATGTTCCTCTGCAGCTCAGGTAGGATTATTTTTTCTTCGTTCCTTATATAGATGTGTCATTTTGTTTGGTTAAATTGGTTCACTTTTTAATTACTACATTTTTCATACTGTTGTTGGCTATATGATGAGGTTCCTGTTTGATACTCTCTTTACTGAAGCCCAGTCGCGGTTTCTGGTAATGTTCAACAACTGAAACTGCAGCGTTTTTTAGCCAGAAAGGGAGCATGTGAGAAGTTGCTGAAGACACCCTATAAAACTTCCAAGTTGCCCTGAACGAATACCAGTATACGTGACATCTCGCTCCGTCTCTGAGCTTTTGCGAAAATTGATCCTATAGCGCCCCTGATATGCACGTCCCCACCACACCCTCCTCCCCTTCATCAATAGGTCTCACCTCAACTTTTACTGCATGGGGCCTTTGCCTAAGTTAGTTTCTCACGAACGATCGGTTCCATTCTGCTTATGTTTGATGGGTGTATGCTGTCGGTTAAGAATTTGAAAAGACATTTGAAAATATTTCGTCCGAAGCAATCGCCTGAAACCATTACAATAGCAACTGAAAGGGAATAGTGTTACTTTGTCTGAGTGTAAAACGTACATTCTGCATTTCTTGCTCATATGCAGATTGAACACAAAAGCTCAAAAGACTACTCGTTACAGTGGCTGTTTAAAAGGTCCCCTACAACTCATAGGAGATGGAGACACTTTCATTCCTCTTCAGAACACCTCTCTCCTTTATTTGTTCTTTTTGTTTATTTCCTTGGCGCTTTAGCAAGCCATCAGTGAGGTTCGAGGTCGATTCCGTACAATTTCTAGCTTGCAGCGAAAATTGGCTTCGCTGTCCATTGAAATGGCTATTTGTAGATAAAGGCGAAGACTGCCGTTCCTGACAAGGAAACTCTTCAGAAAGCAGCTGTCAGGCCTACTGTGTTGAGGTTAGTTTAGGTACGAGAATGAAACTTGTGTTGTTGTTTGATAGTTACATATTCTGAAATCATTTAAGCGAATATATATCACAAGACCTTCAAATTGAAGACAGCTTCAAACTGGAGTCCCTCGTAACGGTGCCAGATATGTTCAATGCTCGTCTCCATTTAGGGCATAAGGTATTTACCGAAGTGAAGCAAATGATTTTTCGTGTTAAAGACTGCAGACTTCACGTTTTTTTTTCAGATAGGAACATTGAATAATAATATGAAATGGGCCTTATACGGTGAACGATTGGGTGTGTGCGTATTCGATTTGGATATCGCCCGAACTCATCTCATTAGGTTCGTTTTTACACAGTTCTGATTTCTTTTTTCCGCACTGCATTTTTCAGCTTTTTTTCTCACGTTTTTTTTACTGCTCTTTCAGTGGTACCTATTAGTTTGATCAAAATCAGGTCTTTCTTTAATACTACCATCCGTTATTTCAGAGCGTTAAATTTCATAGCACATGTTGCAATGCGAGGTGGGTTAATTCTTTTCATAACCACTAATCGTGACACGATGTTTGCTGTGGAGAAGACGGCTGAGGAGGTAGGATGCTAGTTATGCCATAGATATCACCTAAGTGAGAATTATAGCAGTGTTTCACACTTGTTTTTGAAAGTGTGGACAATATTCCCATGTACGTCGCTGGCAAGACGGAACATTGACAAATACGCGGCAACTTTTTGGAGCAACCATTCGTCTCCCAGACGCAATCATTTTTATGAATACCTTAACTTCAGTTTCTGTTAACCACCCTGCTATTATAGGTAAGTATCAGCTTGACTTTCGTTTCAAACATGTAGTCGCCTATATGATTCAGAAGCCGCCAAAATGACGATACCCACAGTCGGTGTTGTGGACAGTAATTCCGATCCAGCATATCTCACATATATGGTACCAGCCAACGATGATAGCCCTCAGAGTGTAGAATACTTGTTAAGGTGGGCGATTCTATGTTCCAGTAGTGCAGTATTACCTCCCGTTAGTACAATCACAAATGCAGTTAATTTTCAGGTTGTTCAAGGAAGCTATAATGCGTGGGCGAGAAGCAGCGAAGAAACAATTGGCACAGTAGATTGGCACAGTCATTATATATTACTTGTCTAGTTAGATATTTTTAAAATTGTTACATTTGTTATGGTCCAATAAATGTGGACTGTTTTTTATTGTCCATGCACATGCTCGTGTTTGAAGACACATTTTACATTCTCTTCCCTTCATGCTGCTTTATTTCGTATTTTGAAGATTGATCGTTCTTCAGTGATGCTGGGTCGTATTCTGCCTTCATTTGCCTTAGCATCTCCCATCAGATGTGTTGTTAATTTTTCCACCGCTGCTGGTGATACCATTACTCGATCAGAAGCGAGTTCATCCGTGACTACCCAGAGACCACTCCCGAAACTCTCGAACAGTCCTTTTGTGGAGATTCCGCAGGTACTTTTTTTTACATTTACATCTGCGTTTTGGCGCTCTTAGCCGCGTGCGGCCGACGCAATTTTGACGTGCGGCTGCCTATTCTCCTGAAAATGGGTCATGGGGGTGAATTTACAAGCGCGAACGAATCCAAACTATTCCAGCAATGAGTAGTGGATGGAAGTTATCTAGTGGCATACCAAAGGAAGGGCAGTAAGAATGGAAAGCAGAATTTCCTGGCTGCGGTGAACATCCGAAGCATTTTTTGGTTGGGTTGTTCCGTGAAAAACACATTATTTGCCATTACAGAGCTTTACTATCACTTATAATATTTCTTTTTTCATATACGTCTTTTCATATTTGTCGTTGAAATAGAAAACGAAGGAGTAGCAAACAGATTTTGCAAAGCTCAGAAAGCTTTTGCTGAACTTGAGCATATCTAGATGTTACAAATCACGTCATTAGCCGCACTTTCTAACGTGGCTCAATGCGCGGAAACTGTGTATCCCGCACTGTCTTCAATGGGTTGAGAACATCCTTCCAAGTTCTGCTTCATTAGAAGTCCCTTTTAGGCGTGGGTGACATCTTTCGATGCAATTGAAGAGCGTAAACTAGATCTCATTGATCTTCATCCAGATATATTCCGAGCTAGACCACGACTGGATCTGTTACACAGGTTAGTATAGTAGCTCCCTTGTCGGGTTGTATATTCAGTTTTTTTTTTCAAAATTATTATAACGTCGCTTTTCTGAAGGAACCTGACTTGGCAGTCAGTGTACCGCAACGTGCAACTAACGAAGCAACTCAGCCGTGCAGAAATGCCTGGGGGAGGTTTGTTAGCCTTCACTTTGCGAAAACTTTGTCTTGAACACATTTCTAATTTTAAGGTCGCAAACCGTGGCCGCAAAAGAAAACCGGACGCGCTCATGTTGGTTCCATACGTTCCCCACAATTCTCTCACGGCGGTTTCGCCAATGGCGTTCGTGGACCACGTACTTGGTTTTACATTTTGCCTGATGCGATCAGGTTGAAAGGTCAGTTGCTCGGTTCATTTTGGTGTGTTCTTTGCGCGTGTTGATAACACATTCACAAGCTGTTCAGCTGATTTTACGTTTCATTGCTTGAAAACAGGCATTAAAATGTGCATGCATCAATTATCACTACACCTTTCATAATAAGCGGTCGTTGGAAGCGATGCGCGGTTAGCGCGCTGAAAGAGCCTGCACCCGTCATATTCTCATTTTGCGGTTTCTCAGCAAACTGAGCGCCGCTTTGAACCATATTAATTGCGGAAGTACGATAATTTTTCTGTTTCTCATTTCTACAAGGTTCCTGCGAGCATGTTCCACTTAGGTCTGCAATTTTTCGTGCAAGTGTTGTCTGCATGGGATCCTTTCGTGCATGCTTCCAAAAGGGGAACGCTGGCTTGGATTTCTATGATCACTTGCGCACATTTCATTAAATCATGATTTTCCACCGTTTCTCATTTGGTCATCATTTCCATCTTGCTCCATAGTTTATAAGGTCGTCCATCTGCGTAATATATCTAAATGCCAGTCTGCAGGAGATGAGCTGTATAATCCTTGTTTATCTCCTGGATCTCAATAATTCTGTCGTGGTAAATGCCACGGTCTTATTTTGAATCACTGCCGCCACTTGTGCTACAAATCTGGAAGAGCAAGTGTGAGAGGGGCCAGTCTACTGGCACTTATATGTATAATACTATGGAACAGTCTTATGGTCTCAGCAAAGTAGGGATCTGTGATTCAAACGTTACAACAAATTCTTTCTCTACGTTATTACTAAAACGGTTTTTTGTGCTCTCAGAAACTGACCATCAAAAAATTGCTTTATCTCGCAGTTTTCGGATAAAAGCATTTCCTCTAGACGAAGTTCCAATGTTTTGATGTTCTTTCAAAGTGCCGAATCATTTCAAGACAGCGATTATGATAATTTGATGTTGATCAGATATGAAAGAAGATTCAGCCGATAATGAAGGAGCAACTTCTGCACCGTCACCCTTAGTTCACACGTTAGCTTTGGCAGATTTCACGAAACAAATACTGGTTTTGGACAAGGGTAACTGTATCGAAATGGAGGATCCAATGTGGCTCAGGGGGGGGGGGGGGGGGCAGTCCACATGACGTAGTGGAAACTCGAACATTTCAATTTTTCATGCATGTCGAGTGACTGCCCCCTCCCCCTCCCCGAGCCACATTGCGCCGAAGTGGAAATCGAAGGATGATTATCACGGTAGCGCAAACGTAAACAAACTCATTTGGTGGTAAGGCAGTGTTGGAGTCGTTAAACTCAACTTTGCGATATCCGAAGCAATGTTGCAAGCAAGAAGCATGTTTATCCAGCTGTAAGCAGTAGATGTCTGCGCCAGCAGTGGTGGTATTGTTTGAAGTCTGTAATGATGCAATCCTACAATCGGAGAGCGGAACCTACTCCGGGTGAAGTTCACCTATTGGGGCTCGTTGTCGCTGCTGAGCTGCACGTTCCCACTGATGCCTCCGTATGCTTGCTTGGGTAGACTCCAACCCCAGTGACCGCTTGTCAAGCCAATCGAAACTACGACTTTTAGACAGCAAACTTTGTGAGATGATCACATGTGTCCTTCGAGCCCTCGTCCAACTCGTGAGAATTCCATCTTCCGGCCTGTACATTTCTCCATGGCTCAGAGGGAACGACACATGGTGCACCTGGGAGGACTGAAGGTCTACTGCAGTTTGACGGTCATTGATGCCGGGTTGCCTTCAAGAAGCTCTTGCATGCGTTCAATATCTACGGTCATTGGGTGTCC